CTATGAACCCACCACAGAACACAGTGAAGTTAATTCAGTGGGTCAAGACCAGTATTTAATTTTAAAACAGTGAAATTAAAACATAACATAGAATGTATCACATATAGAAGGGATAAATACTATTTTCTTGAGCTTTGCTTCAATTACATGTGTGTTATGTATGTGCGTGCATGCGTGTGTGTGTGTGTGTATTACCTATTATAGGTCATAATTTAAAACGTCTGAATAACACTTGCCTATAGCAGTGCCTCTCACAATTTATTCAGACTTTATTCACACCCAGGGATCTTGCTATAATGTAGATTTTGAATCCAGTAAGTCTGGGAGGGTTCCTGAGACTCTGCATTTCTAATAAGCTCCCAAATAATGGCCAGATAGTCCTTGGACCTCACTTTTAGTCCCGAGAGCTACTCAATGGAGAAATCTTAGAACGCTGCTAAACTTGCTACTTCGGCTTTCTTAACTCATGGCACGGTTTCACTGAACCTGAGATATGGCAGATTTGCAACATGCTAGAAAATTCTGCTGACTGAATGTTCAGAGAACTGAAATGGTGGTGTTCTGCTTACCAGATGGGGAAATGTACAATTTTTTTGCCTTAACTATGGTTGTGAGCAATCTTTAAAAGTTAGTCTCCTATTTTCTGCCTTAGGAAATGAGTAAATTGAGTTAAAATTAGTTTTCTTCTTTCTAAAGTTTAACTTTTCACCTGTGTGACTTTTATTTACTCATTTATTTATTTATTTTAGAGAGGCAGAGAAACAAGAGACAGAGAGACGTAGAGGGCAACGGAGAAATCTCAAGCAGGGCTTGATCTCACAACTCTGAGATCATGACCCGAGCCAAAATCAAGAGTCGGACGCTTAACTGACAGAGCCACCCACATAACCCCAAATTAGTTATCTTTGATGATTAATAGTTTTGAATTGCCTCAAGAACTCTAACTATAAAATAATATAAATGTTGGGCGCCTGGGTGGCTCAGTTGGTTAAGTGACTGCCTTCGGCTCAGGTCATGGTCCTGGAGTCCCGGGATCGAGTCCCGCATCGGGCTCCCTGCTCGGCAGGGAGTCTGCTTCTCCCTCTGACCCTCTTCCCTCTCGTGCTCTCTGTCTCTCATTCTCTCTCTCAAATAAATAAATAAAATCTTTAAAAAAAAAATAATATAAATGTAGACAATTTAGAGAAGGAATGGACTCAGTTTAATAAGCACTGACCACAGATTATACACTGGATATTTTAATTTTTTTTTTTTTTTTTTTGCCAAGATTCTGAAATGAATCACAAGGCGGGGGGGGAGGGCGGTTCTTTTTTTGTCAGAGTTGAATAAGGAAAAAAAACCAGATTATCTAGTTCTAATTAATCAGACCAAACCAAAAAAGTCCTTTATGCTATGATGTATTCGGAGAGCAGCTAACTTACTGCGTGCTTACTCCATGTCAGCTACAAGCCTACCTGCTGAGGATACTGAGGTAGGAGGACAAAGTGCCTCGAGGCATCCTTTGTCTAAAGGATTCTGCATATCTCAATGTCTTGGCAGCTGACTGGATGAGGGTTTCTGGTGGGTCTTTCCCATTGATTTCTAAGCTGTGGGCAAAGACAAATCTTTCATTTTTCAAATCAGTCCATAGCACCTGGCATGGTGTCAAGCACAGGCTGTCAAGCACAGTAGTTGTAAATGTTGAGGACTACTCCGCTCTTTCATTCACCAAGTTTAGAATTCTATTCGATGAGAACATAAAACGCAGCTTACTAGTGGCCTGATCGGTGCCATTTTGTTATATAAGGGGTGTGGTCAAAAGGGAATATTCATGGGGCGCCTGGGTGGCTCAGTCGTTGGGCATCTGCCTTCGGCTCAGGTCATGATCCCAGGGTCCTGGGATCAAGCCCCACATCGGGCTCCCTGCTCAGCGGGAAGCCTGCTTCTCCCCTCTCTCACTCCCCCTTCTTGTGTTCCCTCTCTCACTGTCTCTCTGTCAAATAAATAAATAAAATCTTTAAAAAAAAAAGGGAATATTCATCTATTCAATGTAGTAATCAGCTCACATCACCCTGAGCTTCATAAAAATGTAGAGCTCACCGAGGACGGACTATTCTTGACTATCCAGCTGCCTTCATTTAGGCAGACACACAAGGGAAATGACAAACATAGATAGTTTACATTTCTTTCCACAAAAATAAAATTTCTCCAGGTTCCCTGGTAACCTATACAAATATTAAATCATCCTCACCATCACACACACAAAATAAACTCTGGGTGAGGAATCGCCATCGCCAGCCCTCATCTCAACTTCAGGTTCATGCCATTGGTAGTATCTGTTTTTGTTTCATGGTTGTCAGATGCAATAGGGTCTTAAAAATAATTTACATTAGTTAAAAAAATTTCTTTTCTTCCTCCCCACCCCCATTTTTTTAAAGTTTAAACATTAAACAGAGATCACAGAGATCACGCTTAACTTTTGGTAAGAGGAAATTGCATAAGTCATGCAATTATTTCATTTTACCTGAAATTAAGACAAAACATGGGCATTATTTCGAGAGAAATGGAAAGATTAAATTAATAGTCAATAATAACTCACAGGAAATCTAGATCACTTAATGAGACTTGTATTAATTATCCAGATTGGATATGCTAAGGAAGTGACATGTTCTTAGTCTGATTAGCAAAAGTTAAAAGAAAGAGTTGGGGCATATTTTACAACATGGAAAAATAACCTATGTGAAGAGAGTAGAAAAACCCATAAAGAATCAGTGAGAATAAAGGCTAAGAAATAGTTCAGCATCACCATTTTACACACTCCAAAGCCAGTAATAGAGCACTTAAGAACATCAGAGGGAGAGAGTGAGCTACAAGGGAGACATAACCATTTAACGGTTAATGCCCAACAAGTTCACTTAAGGAGAGAGCAGAGAAGATGGTGAGAGAGGCAACAGAGGCAGTATTTCTTAGGAACGGGGTCTAGAAACAAGAATTTTGGAGCAAACTCTTGGAAAGGAAACTGGAGTCAAATAAGATAGCCCTAGAAAGAATGAAGAGAATATGCTGGCCTTCACCTCTTGTATATATGCTCCATTTTCTCCTTCTCAGTCTTCATTTCTCTCCATATCTGTCTTATATTTTTGCCTTTTCTTTGCCAGGCATTTCCTCCCTCTCTTCTTTCCCATGTCTTAATTGGCCAAAACATAAACTTGAATCATTCTTTATGTCTTATATATATTTGTAATATTTAATATCTTGTATAGATCTTTGTAATATTTCTCATATTTCTTTTACTTTGAAAAGTAAAATCCTCCTTGCTATAAATTTTAAAGTGAAGTGAGCTGAGTTTTTTTGACATTTACTTTTCTCTGCATGGACACCTATCTCTTACTACACCCTTTAAAAAAAAACTTGAGTGGCCTTCCAATAATTTCTTTTCTCTATGAGGCAATGGTCCACATAAGAAAGGCTGCTCATCTTAGCTTATGTCTAATAAGTTCTCTCATACTAAGCTATATGACCTTTTCCCCCTAATTCTATCCTTTATAGAAAGACTGATTTCAGTTTTTATATAAAACCATACATAAAATCTATTAATTCACCATGAAACTCTCTGTTTAGGATACCTAGTTCTAGCTCCTCGTTTACCTCTTATGAGGCAGTACATCATACGAATTAAGAGTAGAGGCTCCAAATTCAGACAGACCAGTTTTAGCCCTCTGCCACCTACTGGTTGGGTGACCTTGGGCAAGCTGCTTGACCTCACCAAGACTGAACTTCCTTAGCTGCAAAACAATCATAATAAATGTACTCACCTCATAGGCTTATCACAATATTAAATAGACGTAAAGTTCTCAGCATATTGCTCAGCATATGGTGCTCAAAAACGTCTAACCATTCTTATTTTTCAACAGTCTACCTTTTACCAAACCTTTTTGAATAATATGGCTGTCCTCTTAACCCCTGTACTTTCCAAAATGTAACCGAGGTCCCAGTGTTCTGGAGAGAATGTGGTATACATCACTTTAAACTGCATACTTTCTACCTACATACTATACTTTTAACAACCCACTCTTAAATTTTCCTTAATGTACCACTCAAGTTGATTTCATGTTCTTAGGATGTCTTTCTCCAGGGAGCTATAGGAAATAATCTACGTGTAAACTTCTCAGTATTGTTTGAGATAAAAGATATCTGTATCTCGCAAATTAAAAAACAGGATCTAAGAGAAGCTTAATGGTCTGAAAAGAGGCAAAATAGTGGGTGAGAAGGACAAAAATAGGATCTTACCATCCATGATACTATATTTATATTCTGGATCAGCCAACCTTTCTGGGCTTGCCTGAATTTCTCAACTTGCTCATTTGTTAAACATATAATAAACATTGTGCAAGGATACAAAAGGTTAAAAAAATATCTAGTCCTTGCCCTTGAGGAACTTCTAGAAAAGAATCAAATTAAAGCTCACCATATAGTGTCTTATTACAAACAGCAGAGTGAAACGGGAGCCCAATGGACAGATACCCAAATGAGAATGCATTCCAATTTTTCATCTTCATGATGCGTGAGAAGGGCTCTGAGTCTAAAAAGGACACTTAATTCCTACCTTCCTTTTGTGTCTCTTTGGTGTAAAGGAAGACACACATTAGTCTTTCAATTAACAAAAGGGAGGTGATAAAGTAAATTGAAGGACAACAATTGTGGGTTTTAAGTCCCTTTCCCCCACATCAGACCCTCATCCCTCCCTGTTCCCTGTCTTTTGAAACTTTCTTGGGAACTTGTCTAAGTAGCTTCACATTCTGGACTGAATATGCCTTGTCTATCAAGTGAGGAATTACCCTCTTTGCTCTATGTTCAGGTTGGAAAAGGTGACTAATCAAGGTCCCTCCCACCAAATTCTACAATCCAGGTATTTCCAGACCCAAAAAGGCAGGGAGAAATCTTCCCAAGGAAGGGGCCAAGGGTAAGAACTGGGGTCTAGGGAGCAAGGAACAGCGAAGGAGGCCGAAGCCAGTTCTCACCGAGAGGATCTTATCACCCTCCTGGAGCCGCCCATCCAGGGCCGCAGCCCCGTTCTCTTTGATGCGGCTGACGTAGATGCCACTGTCGTTGGAGACATACTGCTGATCTGTGCCACCGACGATGTTGAAGCCCAGCCCTGAGAAAATCATGGAGGAGTTGTAAAGGAGATAGTGGTGAAGAAGAAAGGGATTAGAGGAGAAGAAGAGAGAAAGAGGAAAGTTCTAGTGGGGAGGGGAGGCTGACAAGTCAACTGTGACGTAACTGGTCAATAGACTCGGGCAAAGCCAGTGAAGAGTATCATCAACAGAGGTCAAGAGTACCCAGAGTTGGGCACTTAGACCAGGCAAGACTAAAAACATAAACGCAGTCATCAACATAGTTTGTTGAATATAAAAAGATCTCTACTAAACTCAGTGAAAGAATAATGGTGATTCTTGTAAGATGTGCTTCTGTTCACATTCAATTTTGATTCTGCTGGCGGCATTTAAAGGACCCAATTCTTGACTTTCCTGCTATTAACATAACAGGGTGAGCTGTGTTCATGAGAAGCCATGCTTTTAACTAATTTGCAAATGAACCATCTTTAATTCAGTGGAGAAGAGATTCCTAACCAAAGCTTCCCATTCATACTTCCCTTCTCCCAATGTTCAGGACAGTTTGTGTATGGAGGTGTTTTGGAAGAAATGGTCTTAGGAGTTTCATTTATTTTTCTATTTTGAGTGTAGACGTTGGCAGGTATCCTGGGAACCAGAAAGTTAACTGAAGCTTCAATAATAGGACTAAATCACCAACTTCAGTTTCCTTTTCTACCTCCAGTACAAACAACTGTGAATTTGGGTAGTTTGCCAAGTTTTATTCACTGTAGGAAACTGACTACCCACGGATTAACAACTCTCCATTCTCCCCCTCGCCCAAACCCCTGGCGACCACCCTTCTATTCTTTGCTTCTCTAAGTGACTAACTTAAATGGGTATAAAATTTCAGTTACGAAGATGAATAAGTTCTGGAGATCTGATGTACAACTTGGTGCCTACAGATAACAATAATGTGTATTACAGTACACTTAAATATCTATTAAGAGTAGGTCTCATTTAAGTGTTCTTACCATAATAAAATAAAATAAAATTTTAAAAGGAAATAAGACTAGTAAAGTGTCATTTCCATGGACAAACCACTAAGTTGTGGAAAGAATTTCACTATACAAAAACCATTGTTATAAAGGGATTTTATCTATGCATTAAAAAGGAAAGAAAAAAAAAGGAACCTCCCTGGGGTTTTCTTTCTGTCAGATACTGTAGAATTCATAGCCATAGTGCCAAGAGAAAAGAAATACTTAGAAAACAATTAAAAAACAAAAATCTGGTGGCACAATTAGAAGGAATAGGCATAATCACCAGCTTACTATTGGTTTCAGTAGAAAACAGATACTTAAGGAGACATATGTGGGCTTTCTAAAAAATTCTCCCCATTGGTGGGATGAAAGCTTATGTGTGAAGCTCGCAGTATTAACGTAAGTACTAGCAAATCAATCTATGATTTAAGGAAATACATGGCGAAAGGGAGAGAAGCAGCAGGAAACATCTCATTTAGATAGCATACCTTGTGGACAGACTATCTCAGCTAGAGAATGAAAAGGGTTTAAGATACAGGATAGCAAGAGCTCCTTCTGAAAGATGACTATTTTAACTTCCTTGAAGAGAAGGGTATGAAAATTTAAGTTACTAAATGGTTTCTCTTAGAACACTCTTAATTTGTATCATAGTGGGTGGAAAGGGGATGGTAGGTAGTGATGAGGTAAGACAGAAAGGTAGGTGAAGCCTGATTAATAAAGGCTTTGAAATTACTTCAAAACTGTGATAGGTTTGAGTAAGGTGGCTGAGGACAACCAGCCTCTCACAATACTAGCACAAACTACTTGGAGAAAATCTTTCCAATCTAACATCTTCACCAAATGCTACAGATGACTCTGGGGACTTGGGGTACAGGGAGCATGTGTTAAGTAGCTAAATGCAATACAGTAGTTAGAAAGAAGAGGGACTTTGCTACTGGTTACTGAAAGCTACAGAACAGTGCCAAAAAGGAGAATGGAGGAAATCTTACTGAAATTTTCTATAAACATTCAAGTGCTTACTCTCACCCAGAAACCACATCATCTAGGCATGTTTATAAGTGATTGCTATGTGAGTTGTAAACGAACTACACCACTTAACATGAAAACTCTGAGACTGCCATGAAGTCTCTGTTCAGCCGGAACATTTATAGAACAGAACTTACCTAAAACTTGAAGTATTGCTGAAATAAACGGAAGGCACCAAAGCACTGAGCAGCCGTACTACCAGTTCAAACCTGATCATTTACTACGTGCCAGGTACTGTATTATGTCCTGAGGAAGACATAAAGCGAAACGGGACAGTCCCTGCTTTAACCACAAATAGAAATTTATCCTCTCCCTGTCCCTTTTATTTTTTATTTTTTTTTAAAGATTTTATTTATTTGACAGAGAGAGACACCGCGAGAGAGGGAACACAAGCTCAGAGAGGGAGAGAGGGAGAAGCAGGCCTCCTGCAGAGCAGGGAGCCCGATATGGGGCTCGAACCCAGGACCCTGGGATCATGACCTGAGCCGAAGGCAGACGCTTAACGACTGAGCCACCCAGGCGCCCCTCCCTGTCCCTTTTAGATTCTGCAGAAACAAATTAAGGTCAGAAGACCTGGTCACAAATTCAACTCCGTTAACTTATCAGATATGTGGACTAAAATAGGTCAGTGTACCTCACTGATCCTTAGTTTCCTTTTCTGTAACATAAGGATTACAAATCCTGCCCTCTCTACCTCAAAAGGTAATTGGTAGGGTCCAATAACATAAAATCTGAAAAATTCCTTATGACCTACAAAGTACTACAAGCGTAGTTGTCAACAGTGGTGCCTGCTACCACCCCAAGTCGGATAGTTTGACGGAGAAAAGATTAACAAATACACAGTACCAATGTGAAATATAAGACAGATAAAAAGTCCATCCATCTAGTAATAGGACGAGACTGGTTTGGAACTCAAACTTACTGAAGTTAAGTATGTCTGTAACTCGTGACCCAGACAGCCTGGTCATGAAGAGTCTCCAGCCAGAGTGGTATTTAAAATATGCAACAGTCAGTCCACCACATGCACCAACGAATTGCAACAGATGTCAGCTGGAAATACGCAGAAGGAGAAGGGCTATCCCAGTATATATCTGCTGATTATCAACTGTGTCCTCGGAAAATCTTCCACAAATAGGGTAGATCACATATCCTGGTTTGTCTGGGAGTCTTTTTTTTTTTTTTAATATTTATTCATTTGAGACAGAGATACAGGGAGAGAGAGAGAGAGCATGAGCAGGGGGAGAGGCAGAGAAGCAGGCTCCCCGCTGAGCCAGGAGCCCGATGTGGGGCTCAATCCCAGGACCCCAGGATCACGACCTGAGCCGAAGGCAGATGCTTAACCATCTGAGCCACCAAGGCGCCCCATGGGAGTCTTGATATATACCTGCTGTCCCAGTATAATTAAAATAGTCCCCTTCAATTTAAAATCTCATCTTAGACCAATGTGACCATCCCATCTATAAAGGGTAATGTAAGAAAAAAAAGGGTGATGTAAGAATGTTAATTGCAGCATGCTTTGTGGTAGGGTGGAACTGATGGTAATTTAGGTGTCTATCCTTTAGGGAATAGATAACTAGAATTTGGTTAAGAGTTAGAAGATCTGAATAATCATATATAAGGTAACAGAGTTTTAAAATGTAATGGTGACATTAATAGCACAATACCTTCTTATAAATTAGAAACCCAGCACACAAAACAGTATTACATACTTACAAAAGTGCATGTATATTTAAAGACATGCAGAGACACGTTAGAATGGGTGCCTCTGTGGGAAAGATACAGGATGAAGTTTAGGGATGAAGGGTAAAAATAAAACCAGGGAGGGACCTTGCATGTACTGATGATGACAATGTGTGACAGAGCTAAAGGATATAATTCAGCTCTCCGCATCTATAATCCAAAAGGGGATGAAGGGAGAGGTAAAAAGAAAAAGACTGGGACTCAATAGACTTTTTAAAAAGTGAGGGAATGAAGAAGTATTGCATAGTGAACTCTGGTTATAATGTGCCAATAAATTTTTTTAAATTTGGTAAGATTAAAATGGGTGCTTGGTCTGTAATTCGGAAGAGACGTCTAAATGCAAAAAAGTATAAAGACAGCGTAAGAATGACGCCACCACAGGACTGGGAGAGAAAAGTAGTATGTCTTTGTATAAGAGTTTTGTAAAGTTAAACAAGAAATGCCTTCTTGTGGACACCCCCAACCCATCTCCAGGTCTGGACCTTGAGCTTATTTATGCAGAAGAGCAGTAACAGCAGAAGCAACAGTTAATATTTATTGAGCATTTAATATGTACCAGGTACTATGCCACGCACTTTACATACGTTATCTCGTTTAATCTTCTCAACAGACACATGAATTATTACTCACATTTTACAGATGAATTTCAAGATGAGGCATGAAGAGATTAAATAATTTTACAAAAGGTCACACAGCTCTTCACAAAGCCAAGACAGTAGGTCAGGATATTTGATTCCGAAGTGTGAGTTTTAAACCATTTTGCCATACTGTATCTTTGTAGGAAATAGAAACAACTGCTTTAGGGAAAAAAAGTCTGCTAAGCAATGCTGCCTATCTCGGGAGTCAACCTGTCTGTGTTGGAATAATGGTTGTAGAACAGTTTCCAAAAGTAATATATTACAGAGGAAGAACTGGTCATTCTGGAGTTCTGTCACCTTAGTCAGGGTCCCTATTGTTTACTTTCAGGTAAAAAAAGGAAAAACCCTTCATTTATTTTAGATTCTTCTCTATAAAATCTAAAAGTTATAAAGTAAAAGAAAAAAAATGTTTAACCATATTATATATTATTCTGGAAATAATAATTTTGGACATAATTAAAACCAAAAAAAACAGTCCATTAACACCAACGATGGTAGCCACTAGTTGAATATGAACACCAGACTGACAAACACCCTATTTCCCCACTATCAACCTGCAGGTTTTTTCTATCCCAAGATAATCTCACAAATTCTCTCTAGATGTCAATCAAACTCGCTGTT